GGTGGCCTCCCAGCCAACGGGTGTGAGGGAGGTGGCCACCCAGCCAACGGGTGTGAGGGAGGTGGCCACCCAGCCAACAGGTGTGAGGGAGGTGGCCTCCCAGCCAACGGGTGTGAGGGAGGTGGCCACCCAGCCAACAGGTGTGAGGGAGGTGGCCACCCAGCCAACAGGTGTGAGGGAGGTGGCCTCCCAGCCAACGGGTGTGAGGGAGGTGGCCACCCAGCCAACAGGTGTGAGGGAGGTGGCCACCCAGCCAACAGGTGTGAGGTGTACGGGTGTGAGGGAGGTGGCCACCCAGCTAACGGGTGTGAGGGAGGTGGCCACCCAGCCAAGCAGGTGTGAGGGAGGTGGCCACCAGGCAGCAGGTGTGGCCACCCAGCAGGTGTGAAGGAGCCACCCAGGCAGGGTGTGGAGAGGGAGGTGGCCACCCAGGCAGCAGGTGTGAGGTGTGTGGGGAGGTGGCCACCCAGGCAGCAGGTGTGCAGGGAGGTGGCCACCCAGGCAGCAGGTGTGAGGGAGGTGGCCACCCAGGCAGCAGGTGTGAGGGAGGTGGCCACCCAGGCAGCAGGTGTGAGGGAGGTGGCCACCCAGGCAGCAGGTGTGAGGGAGGTGGCCACCCAGGCAGCAGGTGTGAGGGAGGTGGCCACCCAGGCAGCAGGTGTGAGGGAGGTGGCCACCCAGGCAGCAGGTGTGAGGGAGGTGGCCACCCAGGCAGCCCAGGCAGCAGGTGTGAGGGAGGTGGCCACCCAGGCAGCAGGTGTGGGAGGTGGCCACCCAGGCAGCAGGTGTGAGGGAAGTGGCCACCCAGGCAGCAGGTGTGAGGGAGGTGGCCACCCAGGCAGCAGGTGTGAGGGAGGTGGCCACCCAGGCAGCAGGTGTGAGGGAGGTGGCCACCCAGGCAGCAGGTGCACCGTTGTGGTCGTACACCTGATATACTGTAGTTAGCAGTCAGTCCCTGCGTCGCCCACGGGTGGTGTAGGGGGTCTTCATCAGCCCCCTGAGTACGATAACCCTGTGTCCGATAACCCTTGAGTACGATAACCTCGTGTCCTATAACCCTTGAGTACGGTAGCCCCTTGTCCGATAACCCCGTGTCCGATAACCTCCGAGTATGATAACCCTTGAGTACGATAACCTTGTGTCCGATAACCCTTGAGTACGATAACCCAGTTTCCGATAACCTCCGAGTACAATAACCCAGTGTCCGATAACCCCCGAGTACAATAACCTCGTGTCCGATAACCCTTGAGTACAATAATCCCAACTAGGATAACCTCCACTATGATCCTTTGAGTACGATGCCATCCTGCTGAGTACTGTACTATGGCATTTTCCTCATGGGGTGAAGATCCACTTAATTAGTTTTATTGAACAGTCAAAATCTTCATAACGAGACAATAATGATCACATATGAGATAACATGTCCAGCAGGTTCGAGTGCATCCTCTTAGAGTAGATTATACACGGAGGTCCTGTAATTAGGCTAGGCTACCATTTATTTTGGACGCCGCAATGGAACACCGCAGCTCACGACTCTACTGTGGCGATCTGAAGGTCTAACTTGAGTGGATGACTGCTTAAGATTTGTCTTTCTTGGCAATTTCCCGTTTTTAATCAAGCATTTATTTCAAGTGCATGAACGTATTCAGTAACTAAAATATTACACCTTCCCGTCAGCAGAGGCGGGGAATATGACTGCCAACAACTTCATATTTTTCCCGCTTTCGCTAACGGTCGTGTAATATTTCAATGTGATTCTGATCTTTTAAAATGTTGTTTTTGCATAATGTAGTATTACTGATATGTAATTTGTCTTAGTATGCCTTATTGTGGGTAAAAATAAGTATATATTAAATGCAACTGCCGAAAGCGTGAATTTGCTACCAGAGTTTAACAGTTAATTCATGGATAATACTTCTGATAAACTTCCTACGTGCTTATGTTTGAAATAATGAATGTATGTATCTTTATATAATTTAGCTAAGTATTTCTCGTTAGTAACGGTTATCCCAACGATTATGAATGAACTCGTTTAGAAAACATCATTACTTCAGGTCAAAATCGGAAAGGTTTGCAACAGCCAATCTTTTCTCAGCTGAGTAAAAACGCACTATACGTAATCAAGTTGTCAACGCCTTCAACACGTCCGAGATGGTTACCGGTAGTTTGCCAAAGGTCGCAGTGCAGAATGGTAAACTTTTTTGTTCTTGCTTCAATTTGGTTAGCATATGCTGTTTCAGCACGAGTAAAAATTAATATTAATTTCTTTCAGTTCTTTATGTATACAGTTAACCCTCACTTTACGCGGTTAATGTAACCCGGAGGGTCCCGCGTAAAGTGAGAAACGCGTAAAGTGAATAACATAACATATGGGATTAATTGAAATGGAGTCCGGGCCGATCCCCAAACTCCACTTTTTGACGACACACAACTATGTTGTAGTAAAAATATTATCTTAACTTTATGATGGTATGCACACACAATTAATAATTAAGAGAAATATCAATAATATTAGGTTTTTTAACACTTACATTAGTAGAAAAAATGGCTGGGCACACGGGGATGGGCGGTTGGTTCCGAGGCAGAGGGCAGATTATTGGCCCTCACCTGTGTCACTTGTATCAATTGTATCACTATCCACCACAGAGGCTTGCAGGGCCTCTTTGTCAAACTCCCCAAAGTCCATATAAGTCCATATCCTCACCATAATTATCACTATCACTGACTTGGGCCGGCTGTGGTGGGTGGCGGGTGAAGAACTGGTAATGTTTTGATGACTGGGCGACCTTGTGCGCACCATGTTCGTGCAGCTTACACAACATGGCGGATGGCGGGAGGTTTGGATCCAAAAATGGCGCGGCTCGCCAGCCGCTCTCCGCGTAAAGTGGTACACGCACCGCGGAATGTGAGCATCCTGGGTTCCGGCAGGGCACCGCGTAAACGTGGAAACGCGGAATGCGGGACCGCATAAAGTGAGGGTTAACTGTACTGTATAAATGCATGTATGTAATATATACAGTGCGCTTCAACATTTTTTTTTTTTAGAAAAATTACCACAAAATAGCATTCATCACATTATAGTGATATTTGACAAATCAACAATTCTTCTAAGTATATTTTGTATATTTTATAAAACTTTTTATATATTTTCAACTCCTCATTAAACATACTTAATTTAGGTTAAAAACTAGGTGTTGCAAAGAAAAAGAAAAAATCTCCTCATTTTTTAAAATTTGGAAATGGCCATCCTATTTGGAGCCGCGTGCTGTCCGCCGCTCTGTTTGGGTAGGGTACTCGGGGTATAATCAAGACAAAATAGTGTGGGCTAAAATGAATTACGCTGTACTAGAATTATTATGAACTGATCAGGCTCGTGGCTACAGCCCTCTAAAAATTTTCTAAGAAACAAACTTCTAGGTAACAGTTGAATATCGCAAATTTTAATATTTATTTCTCAATTTTTCAATTTGGTAATGTTGAGAAGCCAATAAACAAGTTTCATTTTATATAAATTTCCGTACCTACGATACTCAAGGAAAGTACTGTACACTATTATCCTTATTATTCCTTTAGGGCAGTGGTTCTCAACCTTGTTTGCCCCATGCACCCCTTTCACCATATGTCAGAATGTCATTCCCCCCTCCTTTCCAAGATTGTCTGCCTCAAAAAGTGCATTCCAAATAATATGCATATAATACTGAAAATCCTTTATTTTTTCCATATTAGTACATATACATTTACAATTTTACATGGATTATTTTTATAGTGGAGTTTTACAAATTAAATGCCAATTGAAAATGTTGATGGATTTATAAAACTTGAATAAAAGTAAAATAGTTTTTTTATATTTATAATGAATTACTTAACAGACCAAACTGAAGCATAATGCAATAAACAAAAAGTTCAATAGAATACCAGGATATTGTAAATTTGTAATTAATTTTATTCAGATGAAGATTACAGTCAATGAGAAACCTGTGATTGTTTTTTCTTCGCCAATTCTGGGATACGCGGAGGAGTGCTTGAAAGGGCACAACGCAGGTCATTTTCTACCTCTAATCTACTCCGTTGCTTCGTTTTAATTTGCAACAGAGTTGAAAAGCCTGACTCACAAAGATATGTCGACACAAACAGAAGCAATGCACGGATAGCTCTTTCTGCCACTTTTGGGTAGGAATCGCACATCAAGGGCCAAAATTCTGTGATTGATTTCTCATCGAACATATCTCTTGCTCCTGAATCAGTTCCCCCCCTCCCCTGAAAACCTGAATTCCCCCCCTGGGGGGAATTCCCCCCGGGTTGAGAACCCCTGCTTTAGAAGTACTGTCCAGAAGTACAGTTATAGCCTTTTTAATTTGTTTTGTATTTACTATTAGTAATATAATATTTTACTATTATTATTACTATCCATTTTAATTTTATGTCAAAAGAGAAAATATAAGGTGTGAGTGTTGACCTGGGTGGTGGGTGTTGGACCAAGAGCAGTATAGAGGCGGCCAATTTTTCTGTGAGGGTCAGATATGGCGACATGTGTGTTGAATGTAACTGCTTTCCCGCAAATTTATCAGTATTGGGGATGATTGAGCTGCCGTGCGGGCCAGTTGAGTGGTCAATTGGGTGAAATTGATGGTGAGAGTTGCATATTTTGTTGCAGATGAAGTGATTGTGGGAATGCCAATATTGACTACAGATCTTGACATTTTCCTGGATACTTGTCAATACTGTACCTGACATCGTCCACTTGAGGGTTATGTATTTATGGGGGATTGTGATTTTAACCCTCTGTTTATTATGATATTTTGTTTTATTATGTTGTTTGTTCTATGTCGTTATTTGAATTTACTTTCTGTATTTTTGTTTCTTGTAGCTGTGAAAATGATTGAATGACAACAAATATGTGTGCTGTGAGTGTGTGAGAGAGCCATATTTTATCTGTGTTACTGTAGAATTTCTTTAGTTATTTATTGACCATGTAATCAACTGTCCATCTCACTTGACAGGTTCGACATTATACGGAAGTTAGGTCAGGGAACTTACGGCAAAGTGCAGTTGGCGGTTAACAAAGAAACGGGGCAAGAGGTAAGTTGTCAGCAGTTGTTTGTGTATAGGGTGCATGGTAACACTGTATGGGGGTGCATGGTAACACTGTATGGGGTTGCATGGTAACACTGTATGGGGGTGCATGGTAACACTGTATGAGGTGCATGGTAACACTGTATGGGGGTGCATGGTAACACTGTATGAGGTGCATGGTAACACTGTATGAGGTGTATGGTAACACTGATTTATGTTAGCAGATACTTTATAATGTTTACTAATATTTTTTAAATCTCTTCATCTCAGTTACGTGTTAGGTGGTGGGTAGTGTGAGCAAAACATTCTCAGAGGTTCATGTGATAAATATTCCTCTTAATGGATGATGTAATATATATGTAGTACATAACTGGCTGAATTAAGTTAAAGGCCAAAAATAACTTTCAAAAATTAATTCAAAATTACAATGAGACCAAGAAATATTTATTTTATGAACATTTGAGAGTTAGGCCCTAATAGTACAATATTGTATACATTTACGTATAGTAAGGACAATACCGGGTACTGTAAAATACAGCACTTCTTATGATATATTTTTCCACCTTTTGTGGTGGTAACAGTACATTGGTGGTACAGTACATTATTAGAAATATATTAATAATGTATCCACTTGTAAGACTTGGCACTACAGTGTATAACCAATACAGTTGTCTATTCTTTCAGTTAAATTATACTGTATGAATATTTTGGATGAAATCTGTGAGTGTATGTGTGTCAGGGTCAGTTATGTCCTACCTCTTATAAAGTATTCTCCTAGTACTCGTAAATAGATACTGTAAGATGGATCTCGTACAGGACTGTACAGTTATTGTTATTTATATGAGATGGAAACAATATGTTGATGGTGGAAGGTAGACCTTTTTTCGTTATTTCTTTATTGCAAGTACTGTACGTTAAATCAGGGTTGTTAACTCTTACTGAATTGAGCACCTGTATGTGATTCACACTCCTGAGCCCCTGTCAGATATTAGAGCAAAATAATTTACTGCTTTTTTATGATCTTGATTATATCTTCGGAGAAACTTTGTACAGTACCTTGTGAAGCATGTCTATAGTCACAATAAGCTGTACTGTACTGTACTTATTTTAAACTAGTCACAGAACTACAGTACCTACTCCATTTTCACATCACTCTCCAAGTCTTGCATTCCACCGTGGAACATGACAGGAACATTCCACCATGGAACATGACAGGAACATTCCACCATGGAACATGAAAGGAATGTTACACCATGGAACATGACAGGAACATTCCACCGTGGAACATGACGGGAACATTCCACCGTGGAACTTGACGGGAACATTCCACCGTGGAACATGACGGGAACATTCCACCATGGAACATGACAGGAACGTTCCACCGTGGAACATGACGGGAACATTCCACCGTGGAACATGACGGGAACATTCCACCGTGGAACATGGGAGGATCATTCCACCATGGAACATGATAGAAACATTCCACCATGGAACATGAGAGGAACATTCCACCGTGGAACATAAGAGAAACCTGAGAGAATTAGCTGCAGTTATCAGCAGAGTAAAGATGAACCTGTTTTAGCCCTCATCTCATCTACTCTCCTACAATCAATCCCTTTTAAAGTAAATACTGTACAAGTAGAGCATATCTGAACACACTAAAGTATCAAGGCTGGTTTATTTATACAAGCCATCAGCCAGAGCAGCCTTGCCAAGTCTCGCACATTGGACGAGACTCGTGGATATAATATAAATATCTCCCTTATTTCTTGTTTTGCAACTTGGTACAGTAGATGGTCACTTGAGATACGCTTCACTGACCACAGCTTAAGTGAGAGTAAGATAGTCACCCCAGGAACAGGTCACTGATGTGCTGTACATTAAGTACTGTATATGAACACATGGCTTACTGTGGTCCTCTAAGGTTCAGGGACTTTCTTATGGGCAGATCTGTTTTGTCAGTGCATCTTCAGATATGTTATACTTAATTGTGCTGTAGAGGGACTTTGTAGTACTGTACATGGGTAAGGTCTCTATAGAATATTTAAATGACCAAACATTTAACATTTAAGACCTACTCCAATGAGGTACATTTCCCATAGACTCCCATTATGGTAGCTGAGATATGTTCCTAAGAAAATCCAAAAAATCAAATGCCGCAAAATGGTACAAAACATGTTTTAATAACTCTTATGGTGTACACAGTGAATGTTAGCCAATAATAAGTGAAATACATGAAGCACAGAACTGTAATAACTTTATCAATACTGTATGAGTAACTGGAGTGCTTGAAACTTGGTGATGGTGTGGGTTACATAACCATTGTCAATTTATAGTAGAAGATATAATTCAATATTATGTGGATATATATATATATATATATATATATATATATATATATATATATATATATATATATATATATATATATATATATATATATATATATATATATATATTTATTTATTTTTTAATAAGTTCCAACAAAAACAAGAAGATTTTCATCTATGACACTTGTGGTGCATTTTACCCATAACTGATATACAGTAGTACAATATCGGGAGTTGAAAATCAGAAAATTATAGAAAATTCTAAACGGTAGCAAGAAACAGTGGGTGGGTTTTTTTTTTCTAGACAGTAGCAAGAAAATTTTCTTCTATGATACTTTTTTCATTTTATCTATAACTGAGATATTACATGATTGGTAGCATCAACCAAACCTATATAACCCTACCTATTAAATACAATATGACGGTTCTAGGTCGTTTGCAAGGGAAACGTCAAAGAAGAAAAGTGTCTTAGAATTGTCTGAACTTTTGTTTGCAAAGAAAAGATCCCAAGATTCAGTTGATGGCAACAAATGAAATAATAGCTTTACTTGTAGTTTTCTGATTTTCAACTCCCGATATCTTAGTTATGGGTAAAATGCACCACAAGTGTCATAGATGAAAATTGTCTTGTGTTTGTCTGAACTTATCAAAAGAAATCCCTCCCCCCCCCCAAAAAAAAGTAAATAAAATTAATTTGTCCTTTACTATCAATTGATCACACTCCAAATACAGTACATGTATTTTGTTTTCAATTTACTGTACATGTACTGTAATTACCTTTATAATTTTGTAGTTGTGATAGTAAAGTACGGTATTGGAGATTGCCCCCAAAATGCAAATTGTTTCCATATTTTAAGCTGTCTGGCAAGTGACCAATTGAACCACAGTGCTGCTACCATCAAAACAAAACCTACTGTCCTCTTTGTTTACATACAAATTCAACCACATGTGTGTTAGGCATTAGCAAAGTTCATGTGCATTAAGTACCGGTCAGTAACGTGAGTTGTTCTAAGCATATCTGAAAATACTATAGGTACAGTACATAGATACTGTACTGTATTAAATTGAAACTGTAATGTACAAGTTTAAGGTAAACAACGACCACTTGGATTTTCAATGCTTTATTGTTACAGTATTTTTTATTCATATAAAATATATTCTATTATCATGTACTCTTCTCTACTCTGCTCTGCTCTGCTCTGCTCTGCTCTGCTCTACACACCTCGTTTGAATATTCAGTAGTTGTTGACTAAGCATAAACTAAGTGTTGCTGTACTCTTTACTTATACTGTATAGGGCATAGTTGGAGTGTTTCATAGATATTTGGTGGTTCATTGTTATTTGTCGTCAAACTTGGAATAATTCATTTTTGTTGATTTGGTCTTGTGTTAAAGCAAGAATTAAATCCTTGTGTTGATAATATAATTTTTTGTCAGATCCCCTTCATTAACCCCTTCTGCATGGGGGTCTCTCTGTGTTAAATGTTATCGTCTGGCTGTAGCCAAATGAAATACTGTAGTACAGTAATAAAAGTGTCATCCCCGTAGTACATTAATGACATCTTGATCAGACTAATAAGTCATGCATGGTTAATTGATTTTATAGTACAGTACAGTACTGTGGCATATATCACTGGGGGAGGAGCTGGAGACACAGCAGTGCCTTTTCTACAGTAAACATAAACACCATTAATAATAAAGAGAAACACATGACCAGTTCTGTGTACTGCTGTAAAACCTAAATGTATTGTTTATACTCCCTGAGCTTTACAACATAATCAGGAAGTTAAAGTTGAATATTTGATGGTCCAGTTGATAAAGACTTAGACAACAAGTTCTGGGATAACTGTGGCACTGGTAGAATGCCAGCAGAGCTACACGGACGACCCCTCTCAGGTTTTCCCCCACATATCAGGAGGTACTGAGGGTTGTCTGCTGCACCACGACCAGGCTAAAGTTACCTGAGCTTCTCTGTTACTTCCTCTACTTAACACCTACTTATTAGATGTGGATTCAACTACTTCAGTTCTCAGTTTCATAATGTCATGTTGATTTAGCATGAATAACTTATTTCCACAACTCTTTACAACCTGTTTTAATAACCTTTATGTTTCATCAAAGATTACAGTACAATATTAGTTTTATGTAAAAATAGTTACATGTCAATTTAACTCAATAAAAGATATCCCACATCTGTATTATTAAGTATCTATGAAATATGAATAAGTGACTACGGTGCAGTACTGTATTTTACTTCATTTTGTTTTTCGTGAGATGTGTGTAACATATTGTGTAGGCCACTGTCAGTGTTTATTGGGGATGACTGTTGAAGGTCAATAAATTGTTGAGAATACCAGTGAGAGTTCGTTTCCTCACCTAGTCAGTTGCTTGCCAACTATGTCCTCAGGGTTAAAGTATACTGTAGCTTTAATAGATCTTGGAAACCAGTAAGACTTTATGAATCTTATCTGATAAACTGTAAATGACTAATAAATATGGACAAAGAACTTGGTTGATGCCATGAGCTTGAACAGGGTGTTTACCTGATGTGTGGTATACAGCACCTGTACTACTGTAATTTTGATTTGTAAGGAAAAAAGAGGTGCCTTTAGCTACACGAGAGGTAACTGCTGTCTTGTTGAGAAGTATTTTTAGGGCACATATAACCTCTAGGGAT